CCGCAAAACGACTTCGTGTAGGTGTGGGTAAATTAGATCTAGCTTGCAAAGGGGTGGGTAGCGTAAATCGGGCTTCGAACGGATGAAGATAATCGGGCTTCACCAAGTCAATCACCCGATTCCGCAGCACTTTGGTCTCTCTCGCTATGATCCCAATGGGTACTTCCCTATAGCACAATGTTTCATCTACCTGCAGTGGTTCGTAATCCAAGACGTGGGAAGGGTCATGGACGTATTTCCTCAACATGGACGCGTGGAACACGTTATGCACTGCACTCAACGACGGTGGCAAAGCCAACCGGTAAGCGACCGGGCCGATACGCTCCAAGATCTCAAAAGGACCAATAAATCTTGGATTGAGTTTTCCCTTCTTACCAAAACGTAGGACTCCCTTTATCGCTGCCACATGAAGAAAAACGTGGTCACCGACATCAAACTCTAATGCTCTTCGCCTAACATCAGCGTAACTCTTCTGTCTGCTTTGGGCCGTCTGCATTCTTGTTCTAATCTTTTGGATGGCGCCATTAGTTTCTTGTACCAATTCTGGTCCCAACAGGACTCTCTCACCGACCTCATCCCAATGCACCGGCGACCTACACTTTCTCCCATATAACGCTTCATATGGGGCCATGTCAATGGTTGCCTGATAACTGTCGTTGTATGCAAACTCTGCTAAGTACAGGTGTAACGCCCCAAGATTTTATATATATCATCCTAGGCAATGCTGAATAATTTACCTGACTAGCTTTAACTCTAAACACGCGATAAGCAACTCCCTGGAAAAATAATTTAAACGAAATAAAACTTCAACTCCCATACGTTCTGTCAGAAATACAAATGCCACAAACTGTCAGGACTTTGCCCTCCGTAGGCAATTTAAAAACAGAAACATCTCATATCCGCCTTAGTGACAAAAGTTCATAAATAAATAAAACAACCGTACACCTAAACTCCAACGACGACAGTGACGCGTTTACCAGCAACATCCATAACAAATAAAGTAGCTCTAAAGAATACAAAATTTCCTCTGCGGTTCACACCTAGCAATAACATAAATCTCAATACTACTCATACCCAACGACCCTTCCCTCTATCCTCACTAACTAAGCTAGTGATCCTTCCTCGGTCAAGCCCTCTCCACGTCATCACCGCGGTCAACCCTGTTCGCACCTGAAAACATATAAGGGTAAAAAGGGGTGTGAGTACATAAGGTACCCCGTAAGTAGCACTTCCTAACTAACACAAAAATCATGCTCACAGTCACGGCATAAAGAATAAAACGATAGCAAGGCAATTAAATAAGCAGTGAGAGATAGCAAACAATAACTAGACATTTACATACAACAACCATGCATCGGAACTACCAAGACCACAACCCATGATTCACTAGCCCTTGTCTCATGGTACTAAACCTTCCTCTACACCCCCCTGTGTTACTCCCCGCTTAACTTCTCGAGGCATGACGACTCTTGACATTTATTCCCAAGTCACCGTAGCCCCTCCTTTTACAGTACTTGATGTTCAACCTTGCCATTTATTCCCAAGGCCTAGCACCACTACTTCGCAAGCACCACTCTACTTTAATCCCTCAAGCCTAACTCCTCGAGTCGCATTGACCCTTGACATTTATCCCCAAGGCCTCAATACTCTTCTACAGCAACTTGATGTTCGGCCT